TTTTCACTAGGCCTCTTGAGTGACACTAGCTTATTGACTTCTTTTAAAAAAATTTTTTAAACATTTATTCATTTTGGAGAGACAGAGTGTGAGCGGGGGAGGGGCAGAGAGAGAAGGAGACACAGAATCCGAAACAGGCTCCAGGCTCTGAGTTGTCAGCACACAGCCCAACGTGGGGCTCAAACTCATGGACCGCAAGCTCATGACCTGAGTCGCAGTCAGAGGCATAACCAACGGAGCCACCCAGGTGCCCCCGACTTGTTTTAATACATCACGTAACTTGCATCTCAGGAGATGGGAAATGGCCATAGACGCCCGAGCGTGACAGATTATGGCTCCAAGCTAGTCACTGCTTCTTTGTGACCCTGTTCTCTCCGGCGATGAGACTCAGTGTCCCAAGTCCTGAGTCTCCTCTAAGAAGAGCACCTACCAGCCCTCTTTCCTCTGCACAAAGACTTCACTGCTTTCCCCCCCCCCCCACCTGGCCACTCCCCCTCCTCGCCAGGACCCACCTGGAGATCCCTATACATCCTGTTCTGCACACACTCCCTCTAGGATGCCGAGGACTTCTGAGTTCTCCCCTTCACCCATCCACCCAACTGGCGGCCAGACTGTTTCTCTCTTTCTTCAGAGTGTCTTAAGTGACTTAGAGCATGAGCAGAAGAGCATTTAACTTACACCAGTAGGACTGCCACATCCACTGTCACTTGTTGAGTCGTGAAAGGACCACCTCGGAAGTAAGTCACGTTCGTACTCCCTAATACTGAATCTTGTTTTTCTGGGTTTCCTTTTACTATTTCATTTTGATTTACCTTCTCTACTGATGTTTCTCACTGACTGTTCTTTTAACAGAGTTTCATAAAAAATTTAACTCTCGTGATGGCCAAAGCCAGTTCCTCCGTTTCAGTATCTGATTTTACTACTGAGATAAACATCAGGATCCAATGCAAAGAGCACCAGGCAGAAGATGTTAGAAGTCCGGCTCCTGGGTCATCGTTGTCTGTGTGCCCCTGGGCAAGTCCTCTCACAGAATTCCCAGCTCTGTGCATTTTAACGCTGCATCACAGAAGGTGTTGTTTATAAAATTTCATTCATTTCCGAAAACTCTCAGCAGTGGCATTGTTATTACAAATGTCTAGATAAATAATTTAACCTCTCAATCAACACTGGGTCCTGGGGCTCCTAATTTAATAGGAGAATAGACACATCAGGGCCATATATATGGGCTTGTGCAGCTCAGAGAAACGTGAAAAACAACGAAAAAATAGCTGTTACCCAGGAAGTGTTATGAGACAGCTGGTTTCCAGGTCTCCAGAAGACACAGAAGTGATGCAAGTTAACACAGAGCTAAAGATCCAAGTCGCCAAGAGAACGCAGAATATCTCCGTGTGAAAAGGGGTGTTTTGGGGATCTTTTAAGGAAAGGCATATTCTCATTTATTTGTGAGATTCCTGAGCCCAACAGGTGGGCCTGATATTGGGGTGCATTTCTGAGGTCTTTTCCAAATCTGTGACCTTGTGGCATGTGAGGCCGTCAATGTGTGTGTGTGTGTGTGTGTGTGTGTGTGTGCGCGCGCATGCAGTCATATCCACACACAACACAGATACCGAATCTGCCACTAAAAACGTACCCCTGCTCAATATTTTCAGCGAAAATGTTTCCTGGTTCACTGGAAGCATGGAGAATTAATCTTTCTGTCTTTTCTTACTCTCAGCAGTATTACTGATCACTGCCTTTCAATTTTAAGTCATTTGAAACGAAGACAGTATACTTTACAATAAATTTGTGCTTTTACTTAAGGGGAAAAAATTCCTTAATTTGGTTCTCTAAGGAAGGATTTAGTTCGTTTGAGAGAATACAGTAAATTGTAGCCAAATCAGCCTCCGCTTTCTCTACCTCACCTGTGAGGTTTCGCTCTGGGCACGTGCTACGGCAGAACGCTGGCCAGCGTGGCTTTGGGTTTTACTGAGAAGCCTCTACCATCTGATTGGCTTCTGAGCCAAAGGGTGAAGTCAGCTCATTCAGCTTTCTGAATATTTTGTTTCCAAACACCTCTAGACTGTTAATACTTTATTCGAAAATAAATACTGGCATATCCAAAGAGAAAGGGAAATGGTCTTCTAGAAGTCTATTCTCCATTTTATTCCAGTGTGTTTACACAGCATCTTAAAAAAACAACTCCAGGGGCGCCTGGGTGGCGCAGTCGGTTAAGCGTCCGACTTCAGCCAGGTCACGATCTCGCGGTCCGGGAGTTCGAGCCCCGCGTCAGGC